GTAGACTTCTTGCTGTCGGAAGAGCTGCCATCGGAACCAATTCGGGCCGAAACCGGACCGAAAAGTCTGCTTTCGGTGCTTTTGGTGCTATCAGTGCTGGCGATTGTCTTCACTTGACTTGATTTGTGTCCGTCGGTCGCTGTCTTCCCTCCATCTCCACTACCGGAAGGCTTACTGTCGCTGTCTTTGGTCTCTGGTTTGGACTTCTTTTCGTCTGCCATTACTTTCAAAAACTCAACTCAACAGAAGTGGAAATTAACTTTTCAACAGTTATTAAAATTTTAAATAAAAATACAACAAAAATGATTGTTAAGATTACATATATTTTCAAATCATTATTTTAACAAAATTTTGAAATTGCCTTTAATTACACAACAATACAATCAATGTATTGAAAACCATTCAAACATTCACTCAATGAACGCGTTTCTCGACTTTAAGCACAACTTCTTTCGGATTAATTAATCCTAAATTTGAGTCCCGTTTTGGCGGACGCTATGCCAGTGAATAGGGATCACAAATATTAGCTCAATATAAATAAAGTTTTTAATAATAAATACAAACCGATGTTTTGTCGCTGATTTCAAACCGATAGTTATATACTGAGTAAAGTATAGCTAACTTAGCCTCCATTAGGGCCAACCGTTTGGCCACACAATTACGCGGTCCGGCGCCAAACGGCAGGTGAGCGTACGGGTGGTGTGCGATATTGCCGGACAAAAATCTCTCCGGTTTAAATTGATCAGGATCTTTAAACTGTTCCGGGTCTTTATGAAGTGCGTATACAGGGATTTGAATGATATCACCCTTGAATACCCTAATGAAATCATCAGCGCCTCCATCACCGGTCAATGTGATGTCATGTGAGGCCTCCCTTTCCAGTATCAGCACCGGTGGGAACAGACGGTGTGTTTCCATGAGAACGGCGTTTAGGTATTCAAGCCTTTCAATGGCATCGTAATCGATGTCTTCCTATAAAATATATATTTATTTACTAATATTTAAAATGAATTACTTTTAATTTATAAATACTTTGGACTCAATAACACTCTTTGATTCTTCAAATAACTTTTGCTGCGATTCCGGGTTTTCAGTCAACAGATATATGGCGTACGCCATAGTGTTGGCTGTCGTGTCGTAACCGGCCGTAAAAAACAGCACACATTGCGATATCATCTCCTCGTCTGACAAACCTATTCATCAAAAAGTTATTCAAAATTTTGCATTATTTACATAAAATTGCATTTAAAACACACTTTTTGTATTTAATAACAAAGAAGTTGTCGTCTCATCCTTTGCCTCTGGTTTGCGGCTCTCATCACTATTTTCCTCATTATTCCTATCGTTCGCATCCAATAAGAGCTGCAAAAAGTCATACCTCTTCGCACCGTCTGATCCCTGACCGGTGCGGCGCTCAGCGATTATCTTACGGACTAAATCGGCAAAGAATGCGAGAACCGATTGCGGAAATAATGTGAAGCCCAAGCATTTGGCAAACTTTGGCCACAACATGATCATCATGAGCTTCGGGAGACTACCGAGCGATACGTTATCCATTAGTTTCTTGGCATTCAATATAATGGGATTCTTGTCGTCAATAAGTGCGTCCACTTTTGTCCCAAACGCCACTTGTATTATCACTTCCATAGTATACGCGCCATAAACTGTCTTCATGTCCACCGAGTGGTCACTGTTTGCCGACATTTTGCCAATATTTTTGATTAATGTCTGCAAACAATCGTCAATCAAAGGCCGCATTTTGCGTAACTTTCCGGTTGAGAAAGTGGGCGACACTATAGCCCGCAGGCGTTTCCACTGGTCATCGAGTGATAGGCTTAACATATTGTCAGTTATGGCATCACTTCCGGCGAACACACTCTTCATATGATTTGTGACAAAAATCAAATCAATCACAAAATAGACACGAGTTTAAGGTTTAGACTAGATTTGATGTCCACTACTCACTCACCGTTCTGTTAGTAAAAGTGGTAAACTCTTTGCTCAACACTTGGCTTATAAAATCAAGTCTGGTACACATGATGGCCGTCTTGCCCAACATGGAATAGGAGAACAATTGACCATGTTTTTTCACCGCTTCCAGTTGTGACACTTCAGGCAATTGTTTTTTCCATATTAAATCATACAATGACGTCGGACTCCCGACCTTCACATTCCTGTCCCCCTTCTCCCGGCTATTGTCCCGACTGTAGAATCTGTCAAATAATACAATATTTTCAATATATGCACATTTAAAACCTTATAACTAATTAATTAAATAAATAGCATAAAGAAACAAATTATAATTAACTTACTTGAATATCAAATATACAAATCCAATGGAAATTAATGCTATCAAATAAGTTGTTGGCAAAAACTCTGCTATATTTTTAAATATTATATTCATAGTGTGATAGTCTATCACTGATAGGGTTTAAAAATTTGTACAAAATTTAAACAAAACGATGTGGATTTAAATTCATTGTACAATTAAATGTATTATAAATGAAACGTTAAAATACTTGTGCAATACAATAACACAATGACTGATTGTAAATCATCAATGTAATCAACACTAAATTCAAGGACAATTAAAGTTTCCACCGTTAAATAATTGTCCTTGAATATACTAACGATCGTAAGCTGATTACACATGATTGCTATGTAATTACATTGTTGATCTAAAATCAATCATGCTAATTTAATGTATAACTGTTACTTGTCTACCGAAATATAACTTTTGTTCATAATAAAAACAAAACTTTTATTGATAAAAAATCGTTGTTTTTAATAATTAAATATTTATCATGTAATGTTTAATGTTTATAAATTATCTATAATTTTACTAATAATATTAGATATAATTTTACTTGTATAAAAGTAATTCACGTTCTTAAGACAGTATAGTCAATATACAATTAAATAAATAAATTAGTACATAAATGTTATTTTACCATAATTAATAAACATTAAAATTAATTTGATGTAAACAAAATGCATGTGCAATGAATTCTGTTTATTATGTTATAAATATATAACTGAAAATGCATATTTTCAAGAATTATTGTGATAATTTTATTAATTATATTACAAATTCAACATCAATCTATAATATTAATATTGTTTGTTGCACTGTAATAAGTAAACTTGCTAAAAAAATTTATATTTACATTTAATTTATTTACCAAGTTTATTTACTCTTCAGATTATTTTGCAATTATTGATTAAAATTTCTGTCTAAAACATTTGTACACAATCGTTAAAATAACAATTTATTATTTTCTGAAAACAATATAAACAATAGAAATATTTAATTTAATTAAAACATAATTTTTTAAATACAGTATTAATTTAAGTTAATCTAATTTTATATACTACCGTAATAGCATTACACAAAATTTATCCCTATTTGTGAATAATTAAAGTTTTTACATTAAAATGTTTGCAAAATTAACCTTGATGATTATGTGTTGTTGTGGGCTATTGTATTCACAGTAATTAATTAAATTATTTTGATTACAACATAATATTAAGATTTTAAATAATTTTATTTTTTAGCCCAAACATATCAGATGTCGAGGAATTTCTATCAAAATTTGATTCAAAACATTACAACAGAAACATTA